CTGTCATAAAAAAAAACGAATTTTCATCACGATTTTGTCACAGTACTTTGGCCACGTCTTCCCACCCTAGAGGTCAAATGTTTTATTATGTTTTCCTTTGTTTTAAGACTGACTTTTATGTTAGAACATATTAGGTTATCTAACTAAACATACTTGCTAAGAAAGAAAACATGTTGTATTAGAGGTTAGCATTTGTACCCTAAACATGTATACTCTATTCTTCATTAACTTTAGTTAATAGTATTGGTTAAAAGTTTAATATGTCTAGTTTTATTATTTGTTGTTATTATATTTTTATTATAGAGACTATTTTGCATTGTTAGCTTCGTATATGAATACAGGACTAATCTAAATCTCCTAAGTGGCCTGGTTGTTAGGGGGTAAATAGGTACCGACATGACCAAGTGGTTAGGAGCTTGAATCGCAATCTGCGGGACGCGGGTACGAATCCTCGTCACACCGAACATGCTCGCCCTTTCAGCCATGGGGGTCTTATAATGTGACGGTCAATCCTACTATTCTTTGGTAAAAGAGTAGCCCAAGAGTTCACTCTAGTTTATCACTACTAAATTAGGGACAGCTAGCGCAGATAGCCCTCGAGTAGCTTTGCGCGAAATAAAAACAACAACAAACCAATATCCTAAGAGGGCCGATCCTTGTCAGAAATTATTAGGTTTATGGCCGAAAATGTCGTTAATAGTGAGGGTACCCAACTAATGAAGAACGTTAGAAAAGTATGTTTAATTAGATGTAATCGTTACCAGGTTTATTTTTTAGATTTGACCTAAGTAACTAGCTTGCTCTGATTGGAAGATGATATTAAATACTAACAAAAAAAAATATGTTGCAGGGTAACATTACACTGAACACACCACTAGTGAAAAAAAAGCTGAGTTACAGAATAAAATTTTTACTTCCATATTTTATCCCAGGTAATCCAGAGGAGAGATGACATCGAACCCAGGCAAGATTTCTACCAACCTTGGGAACAATACAAACACGGTTTTGGAAATCTTACAGGAGAGTTTTGGTTAGGTAGGCCTATTACATTTTCCAGAACATTTCAATCGTTAAATTAGGGGACTCTGTAAATATCTTCTATTTTAAGAATGAACTATGCAGTGTTTTGAAACGTATTTCCTATGTTGTTTTTCGATCTATTTTAAAATGTCGTGGATGTTCCCTTTTGTGTTTGGTTTTTTCTGAAAAGCGTCATCTAAAAAATACATAGCTTCTAAGTATTTGAATAGCGCCTCTGGTGGTAATTTATCTAAATCAGATTTTAAATTATTCCATATATATATATAGTAATTTAATGTAATTCCACAACTGTATATGGATATCAGAAAGATAACGAATTGCTGATTTATTTATTTGTGTTTAACGATATCGTCATTAGATAGACAATAGTGGAAATAAGTAAGTAACCACACACAGGAAAATCTGCACAAATCACGCCAGCCGCCTCACGGACAAAATAGTTGCTGGATCAGCTTTATTGATGTGGTACTTTGTGAATGATTGCCATTCAAGCAGTCATTAAATGCTACATCAGCTTACTCACTATATAAGCTTATCCATCAATGACACTCCCCAGTTATCTATGCTGAAGATTCATGTTTTCCAGGAAGTAACACCTCACGCAACTACTATTTTGGATGGTTAGGGTTATACAACAAGGATCGTTGAGGGGATTTGGACTTACAAGGATAAGAGGAGATCAACATTCAACCAAACAACCCGTGGGAACATAAAACAAGTATCGTTGAGGGGATTTGGACTTACAAGGATAAGAGGAGATCAACATTCAACCAAACAACCCGTGGAACATAAAACAAGGATCGTTGAGGGGATTTGGACTTACAAGGATAAGAGGAAATCAACATTCAACCAAACAACCCGTGGAACATAAAACAAGTATCGTTGAGGGGATTTGGACTTACAAGGATAAGAGGAGATCAATATTCAACTAAACAACCCGTGGTACATACAACAAGGATCGTTGAGGGGATTTGGACTTACAAGGATAAGAGGAGATCAATATTCAACCAAGCAACCCGTGGGACATACAACAAGGATCGTTGAGGGGATTTGGACTTACAAGGATAAGAGGAGATCAATATTCAACCAAACAACCCGTGGAACATATAACAAGGTTTTGAAAGACCATTACGCGCACTTTCATTAATAAATTGTGGCAGCGTGTTGACAAGATATTCTGCTGTAAATAGAGCAAAAGGCTTACATATCAAGTATTAATGTATGCAGTTACATATCTGTATGTCGCCATTATAGTTTAGGCTATTATACTCCCGTTATTTTTTAATGGGACGAAGTGCTGACTTAAGTATTTGACTTATAAATAAAAAACAAACAAAAAAAATGACCTATAAACTCCAGAAGAAAGATTTTATTGTTATTAGCTAACGTTTCGGCTTCTAGCCTCTATCGAAGATTATAGCTCAGTTTGTATGCTGTAAGTTCCGGTGAAGGCGAAACGACAAATAATAAAATAACGTTTCTTCATGAAGTTACAGGCTACTATTAATCTTCAGATCTAATTAAGCTTCTGTGTTTATTTGAAACGAATCTTTGCCTGCGATACAAAATGTTTAACTAATGTTTCCATTATTTTAACCTGTGCTCAACTTCGGGCAATTTTGAAGACTTTTCCTGTTTTCAAAGTCGTGCTCCTCATATAAATATTCGTCTTCCGCGGTTCTCCTGACGGCACATAAATACCAGTAACCATAAACTTCTGACGCACGTGAATAAAGATGTACTTTGGATTGATGACACAGGTCCTAAAACGTTTAAAACATCTTGTGTGTAAAAATAAACATTTTTTTTTCTATTTGTTCCAGCGCCATGGATTTTCCAAAAGAAACGTTTTTCAGGTATTTATCTTCGGTAGTTTTGATTGTAAAATTACCCTCTCATACTTAAAAAGATAAAAGAATATATATAATATTAATAAAGCCATTTAAGAAGTAAAGCGTTGTTTATTATCTGTTATACTTAAATAACTATTGTATCATTTTAAACAAAACTCAAGGCACATTGAACCTCTAATTTACAAGAACAAAGTTTTCTGACAATATGAGAGCAATCTGGCAGTTTATTAAGAAGCTACTGCTCTCTATATAGCTTTAACGAAAATCATTCACGTTGCACTGTATAACAATGTTGCTTACTTTTCGTAGTGGCCTGGCACGGCCAGGTGGTTAGGGTGCTCGACTCCCAATCTGAGGGTCGCGGGTTCGAATCCCCGTCCCACCAAACATGCTCGCCCTTTCAGCCTTGGGGGCGTTATAATGTGACGGTCAGTCCCACTATTCGTTGGTAAAAGAGTAGCCCAAGAGTTGGTGATGAAAAATGGATTCTCTATGCGAATATTGGCGGTGGGTGGTGATGACTAGCTCTAGTCTTACACTGCTAAATTAGGGACGACTAGCGCAGATAGCCCTCGTGTAGCTTTGCACGAAATTCAAAACAAACAAACAAAAACGCCAGGAATAGCAAAATTTGAATTCGTTTGTTTAAAATGAAGCTAACTAGATTTTAACTGTATAATATAGACGGATTTCGATAATGTGAAAGTGAAATAATTCTACAGTTAATTTCTTAAACTACCAAGCGGGAATGATCCAAACCTTTTTGAATTTTTAGATTAAGAAAACATATAATACTCTGTTTTTCCTTTTTTTTTCTGTAGTGCATATTGGTTTGCTGTTGACAACGTTCTTGGCTGTAAACCCAGTAACACCTCAACAGGTTAGGCCTAATTATTAAATTTATATGTAAATATATGCAAACATATAGACATATAACAAATTGGTAAGAGAATATAGAATGTATTTACGTTTCCCAAGTTTGTAGTATCAATATTCTACCCCTCAAAATTTCTCAGATAACAACGTAAGAGTGTTATATTAGTACTAGAAATAAACGACCTTATAATACCAAAATGTTGTTTTTATTTAATTAGGCACTTTATAGACGACATTTACATTGTCCTTAATGCATTGCTTGGGACTACTGAACTACGATACGTACGAATATAACTAGACCAGAGAACATCACGATTTAAATAAACACTTCACGTGCATATAGTACACTTCCTATATTATCATTTGTTTGTTGTTAAGCGCAAAGCTGCACGATGAGCTAGCTATCCGTGCAATGCCCATCGCAGGGATCGTGCCGCGAGTTTTAGCGTTATAAGCCCTCAAGCTTATCACTGAGCTACCGGAAGGCGGTGCATTTACTACACGCGTACACGTAAAAAACTTATGGTGACAAGTTTCGTTAAATCTTCAGTTCGGTAATCTTACGTCATACTAAAAAGTTTACAATAACTTCAGATTATCTCCACTAGAAATCAGTAAAATTAGAAGAAAAAAACAAACTTTAAATGTATAACGTATTAGTCCTAAGTTTTAGTAACAGTTTTCGTTTAATTAATGCTCAGTTTTCTGTTACAGGTAACGATCTTATATTTGTGTTAACCAATAAAGAGAACATGATTTTACGAATAGATATGAAAGCTTTTAACGGAGAAAGAAAACATGCCAGGTACCAAAACTTTCTCGTCCGAAGTGAGAGGGATCTCTACAACATGACTGTTGGGTCGTATGATGGAACTGCTGGTAAGAGGTTCATCATATGCGGTGGAACCAGGGGGGTTGTCCCCCCGGGTCTACTCCTCATGGGGGCAGGTTACATCCTGTTAATAGTTTAAAAACCACCGCACTCTACATCGTATGATGGAACTGCTGGTAAGAGGTTCATCATATGCGGAGGAACCAGGGGGGTTGCCCCCCGGGTCTACTCCTTGTGGGGGCAGGTTACATCCTGTTAATAGTTTAAAAACCACCGCACTCTATATGTCCGCGTTTTACCATGAATATATATATTCCAGGAACTACTCCGTCTGAAGTCTATAAATGCCTTATTTTCTGGGGATCATACCCCTCTAATCATCATAGATCTCGCAGACATTGTAGCCCACCCAAGTTACATTTGCTTTCCCTGCCTGTTGTGACGTTAATAAATAACATTTAATTAATGTCAGTGCTTTTTATGCGTGTTAAGGTACTTTGTAAACCGATAACCGACAAAATCACAGTTTAAAACAAAAAGTATGCGTGCCCCATGTTGTTGTTGTTTTTCCTCACTCATATTGTACGCACGATTGTATTCAAGGAAGGGTATAGTTTTACGTTTTTATCATTTTATCAATGCACATGTATTATGAAAATTGTGAGTTTTTTTTTATATCTTTACTTACCCAGAATGTAATCTCTCTAACTTTACATTAAAAGTTGGTTCGTGTTCTAAAGCTTTAAGGTTCATCAAATAATTCGTTTCACAGAGGGTTGAATACCTTATATTAAAACTATTTTGTTTCTACAAATTGGTAAGTAACGTGAAAACCACGGCTGATACAAAGTCACGTAGGAACAGGATGTATCAGAACTACATTTTGAAATCTGTTTGGATTCACGTAGGTAGTCTGTGATACCACCAAAAAATTGATCGGTCTGGGAAAGGTAGAAAAAGTTCTTTCCGATGTAAAATAATCATACTTTTGGATCGCAAAAAATATGTTCAGATTGAGAATTTAGAACTTTCCAGAAGGGAATATCCCTTGTATCTAATAGCATTAAGAAAATAAGGAATATGGGTCAACTTGGGGAAACAGGACCATCAAAAAACAGACCTGCAACAAATCGTAACCCAGCCATGGGAAGCAAAGTACAATCTCTTGCAACGGGTGAGAATCCACAAACGAGGTAACTGACAAAAGTTGTCCACGCGCCCCGGGCAGAAGTGCTCAACATACTCCAGAAGGATCTCCGTTTGGAAAAACGACACATGTCACGTGTAGACAAGTTGCTTCCACGACGCATCCCTTCAATAGTCGTGTACCTTAAGCAACCGGAGGATGAAATTAGTATCAATGCTATTCCATACAAAGAAAGAATGAATTATGGAAAGCCAGAATTATGACTGCGAGGTTATTGTCAAGATGCACGGTCATCAGATAGAGCTTGACCGTACATGTCGACGTGAACTCTATAGACAACGGCGAGGCTCTAAAATTGTTTTAATAATATACTATTTTTAACCTTCAGGAGCTTTAATATAATTTTTTACACGTTCATTGTATGTTTGATTAATAGTTTGTATATTTAATACTTATTTTGGCTACTAGTGGTGGATTACACATACAATAATATAGTGGTGGATTACGTATATAGCAACATAGTGGTGGATTACCCATACAGCAACATAGTGATGGATTACGTATATGGCAACATAGTGGTGGATTACATATACATCAACATAGTGGTGGATTACATATACATCAACATAGTGGTGGATTACATATACATCAACATAGTGGGGGATTACATAGACAACAAGATAGTGGTGTATTACGTATATAGCAACATGGTGGATTGCGTATATATATATCAACATAGTGGTGGATTACATATACAGCAACACAGTGGTGGATTACATATACAACAACATAGTGATGTATTACGTATATAGCAACATGGTGGATTACGTATATATATATTAACATAGTGGTGGATTACGTATATATATTAACATAGTGGTGGATTACATATACAGCAACACAGTGGTGGATTACATATACATCAACATAGTGATGGATTACATATACAA